AGCCAACAGTAATTTTTTCGCTACTTTATGCTGAAAAAGATTTTAATGAGTACCAAAGCGGAAATAATTTTGTTTGACAAGTTGGTAATAATTATTTTTAAAAATTAGTAGGAAATATAAAATAATAACAGTTTTTAATGTCTAGATTTGAGACAAGTAATAAGACTTATTCTTCATAATTGTCTGTCACAAGTTGTTATTGAATCTTTTACATACTTATTATTAGTTATTATTTTTTTTTGCTCGCGAAATCGAACGGTACAACCGTGCCCGTAAAGATTATTATATTTCACTATTTTTAAAACAAAGTTCTTTATGTTGCGTGCTTGGAAGGCTGGAATTTAAAAAACGACAGATTTCCATAAAATAATTCATTTTATTTACCCCTTACCACATCGCCCCCACCTCCAGTCCCGTACACACTTTCCCTCACCGTGTCTCTTCGAACTAGTATGTTATATTAATTATTGAATTATTCATTCGGTTGACTTTTTTTTTTTTTTTAATTAAATAATTATTTTTCAAACTTCAATACAAAATTTATTCAGCAGCAGCTTTTCCATACGTTAATGAATATTTAATTGTTTTTTAATTTTCAAATAAATCAATGAATAATTATTTTTACAATGTTTTAATTTTTTAAAAAGTTTTTCAACTTTTTTCCAGCAGTCTTACATTTTTTCCATCGTTTTTACATCAATGGTTTATTCATACGAGGTTCTATGAATACAGTAATTAATTTTCATTGCGTTTTATTCTTTCATAATTTTTGTATTCGAGATTAAGGTGATTTTTTTGAGTTAAAAACGTTCATCACAGTTAGCGGGGGGAAAGTTTAGAGAGGTAGGAGGAGCGCAAATATGTAGCAAACGCTGGAAATTATTTTTTTTTTCATACGGGTACACCTACATATGCGCTTTCACAAATACTTGACCTTTTCTTTCTTATTTTGTTAAAAAAACAACTTGTACATTAATTTTAAAATTTAATAAGTTTATGTTATAGTAATCAATCACACAAAACATGGGGAACTTTCAACATATCATTTCCTTATAAATGCAATTTTACGTGATTCTTCCATAAGGTTAAATGATAAATTAAAATTTTTTTCAAATTAAACATATACTTAACAAACGGTAAAGTTAAACGATCTGCAATTTTTTGCGGGTATTTTTCATACTATAATGAATGCACATTTCAATGATATCTATCAAAAAACCTATGTGTGATGAACGTCCTGCAGCGATGTTCACTGCCAAGTAATGATGTAATACTTCCCTATTGAAGATAAAAGCACACAGTCTTGTACTGGCCAGCCTGTCAGCACGTCGTGCCATGGTTTTAATCCAAACTATTTTTATCTACATAATATATTGTTAATAATTGTTTATTTATTTGATACTACAGTATTTATTATAGCTACACCCAATTACCGAATATCATGGTTCAAATAATAACTGCACCACCTGCAATACATCGCATAGGGTTATTTAAAATATCGTTTCATACAAGGTATTTCTCTCGGTATTTTCATTCATATATTGTTTGCCACAGAATGTCATAGAAGTATAACTTCATTCACGGGTGCCCAAGCACTCACTGTCTACTGGTTTAATTTATTTATTACTTACGGTGATACGGGCATTTAAAGTTTCGGCTGTTTTTCATCCCAATAATTTCGAATTTTTGGTAATGCCATGGCTTTGTAGTGGTCTGTAGAGATATATACAAAAATGGACGGCTTGAATGTTTGTTTTAGTTGTTCAAACGATTTTCTACAAGTATTTTTTTACATTTTCGTTTACTAGGCCCTAACTAAGCTTGATAATTTTTTTTACCACTAAAATTACTTTCTAGGCAGTCCACTGTATCACTACCAACGACTTCAAAGCCATAGGATTAATTTCATTTCGAAATATTTAGTTAAAAAAAAAAAAAAGCTATAACTTAAAACTGGAAATTGCAACTGAAAGAAGAGTTGCAACTGGAAGTTGCCACTGGTAGAAAGAAGAGTTGCAACTTTCGGTTTTAAGTTTTGGCTTTTTTTTTTAGCTGAATATTTCAAAATTAAATTAATGCTATGGCTTTGACGTTGTTGTTAGTGATACAGTGGACTACCTAGGCAGTAATTTTAGTTGTAAATAAATTCAGTTGAAATGGGTTCAAGTCCTTCAAAATCAAAATCGAAAAAGTCAAAGGAATTGACAAATTAAACAAAATGCATTGATAAAATGATGAGAAAAATGAAATGGAGAATAATATGACAAACAATTAAAAAATGAAATCAAAAAACGGGAATGAAATCAAAAAAGACATAAAAAAATGAAATGAAATGAAGAAATAAATTGTAAAAAAATTTAAAGAAATCAAAGTAATGAAATGAAAAATGAAAAAAAAAAAAAAAATGTACTAAAATCAAAAAAGACATGAAAAAATACAATGGATTGAAAAAAAATGTAATAAAAAAGAATAAATGAAAAAAAAGAAAAACAAGTAAGGAAACAAAAAAAAAAAAAAAAAAAAAAAAAAAATGATATGAAATCAAAACAGACATGAAAATATACAATAGAATAAAAACAAATGAAATAAAAAAAGAAACGAAAAAAAGAAGAATAAATGAAAAAAAGGAAAATTAAATAAAGAAATGAAAAATGAAAAAAAAAAAAAAAAATGATACGTGTTAGTTAAAGTGATTTTTATTGGCATAAAACATATGTTACACAGCCAGAATACAGAGCGAGTAAAATACATAACATACGTGGAGTAACATACTTCGAATTGATATGTGTTAGAATAAGAGTGTAGGGACCCCACCGTATGCGAGTGGAGTGGTGAGAGCGAAGAGAAGAGGCCGCTGCGGAGAACAGTCGATCAGTCAGTCGTCCCGTTTGAGCTGAGCTATCAGCCACGCTATTATATCATGAACTATACTTATTGAATAAAGGCACTGTTATCGTTTTACTTAAATAGTTCTCTTCTGTTCTTAGCCACTCTCTACCCCGCCTGCTCCTACACTGGTGACCCCGACGAACAGCTGCACCTGAGGGAAGTGTGCAGCCCAGCAGCAATTGTTCACCACCGACATTGTTTTCAGCCCAAGCAGCGGGAAGTTTTGCGGCGCTGAGGCGGATCATCGTCGACGCTTAAACTGGCGCAGTATTCAACGCAGTCCTCGGAAACGTTTCTGCTGCCGTCGACGCATCATCATCGCCGTCGCCGCTGTTGCCATGCTGCCGGGAAGTCGAGGTGACTACGGGTACAGTCAAGGACTCCCTTCTTACCAGGTTCGCTGCTGGCGTTTTTGTTTTATGTCGGATAAAAATTTTAAGGGGAGAGAGCGTATTAGCGTAAACGGCGACTCATTTTTTTTTTTTTAAGAAAAAGAAACACCACGTTAATTACATTCATTGCAGCACGCTCAAAATATATTTTCCTTTTCTCCACTTATGAACAAGGAAGTACGTAAACGCGCGTTAGTTAGCTGCAACCTTTTTGACCTTGCCGTCATAGGCATCATTCCGGCTTGTTCAGCCGACACCTTATAGCGTGGTTTATCTGTTTATTTTCTGCGCCCCAGAACTTTCTAATACATGTAATTCTTGGAGCGCCAATTAATCTTTATGTTTGTATCGCATCACCTTGTATTGTGCACATTTCTCGGAATTACAACCCCTGTATTTACACTTTTAAGCTTAGCCGTTTTATTATTGTGAAGGAAACACACAACATTATTTTCTACATACATTTTCCCTTGTGTATTATCCGTAGCTACATTATAATACTGACGAAAATACTATTTTATTTTATTTTTGATTTTGAAGGTTTTAAACTACCACCTCTATTTGTACATTCAATAGAATCATCGCACATTTTGGCCTACATATTTTTAATTGTTGCGTGTTTTCTAATTGGATTTTGCGGCATTGCGGCGATTATTTTCCGAGCGGTATCCCGGAGCTTTTTGAGTTACTGAGCTTTTGAACGCTGCCTGCTTGGCCGCTCCCGAACCCTCCGTCATTTTCTACCTAGCAAGTTATCAGCAATGCCCGAGACGGAAGAACTCGCGACACTTCGGGAGAGTGTCGCTCAACTATCAACTCAATTGCGAGAACTTTGCGCTGAACGAGATGCAAACCCCACACCGGTTTCGGCATTTTACAAAGTCCCGAAAATACCGAGTTTTTTCCGTGAAGATCCGCAAACTTGGTTTTTTCAAGCCGAACTTTAAAAAACGCGGGCATTTCTGTACAAGCCACTATGGCTGACTCGGTAGTTGAAAAGTTGGACGCGGAGGCGATCCGTGCCATTCGGGACATTTTTTAGCGGCAACCTAGCCCCAATAATATTTACGACCTTGTTAAAGCGCGTTTAATTTCGATCTACGGTACCTCACCGGAGGAACGCTTTAGGAGACTGATTGAGGGGCAAGTGTCTTCTTCTGGGAAACCATCGCACATTTTATCATCACTCCGGTCTCTTGGGGTGGAATGAACCGATGACATGCTGAAGTCCATATTTTTCGAGCAGCTAACTCCGGGTTGTCGCGCGGTCCTCTCGGTTTTCCGCTCCTCCGGCCTCGACAATCTGGCATCAATGGCTGATAAATTCTTGGAGGCTTCCCCCCTACCCGTGCACGTTGCCCCGGTCTCCGCGATAGAGGAGCCAAGCCCTATTGAGCGTGTCGCTCGCGAGCTGGAGCGTATATCCAAAAGGCTAGACATACTCGAGGGGAGTTGCGATCGCTCGCATCCACGTGGTCGTTCCGAGCGCCGCAGACCGCCTTCCAGCGGTCCGGACTTGGCTACTAGCCCTCGAAGGTTTGACCGCGTTCGAAGCCCACCCCGCGACCGCAGTAAGGAGCTATGTTTTCTTCACCGCCAATACGGCAAACGCGCCCATCGCTGCCAGAGTCCATGCTCCTGGAACAGCTCGTAAAAAAACGGTAAGAGTGCTTCTTTGACGGAGCACCAGAAGCACTAACTATAAGCAAAAGGCTCCATATGACTGACCACAACTCCGGCTTGGTATTTTTAGTGGATACCGGAGCTGAGGTCTCTTTACTACCTAAATTCTTTGGAAACTCGTCGACCCCGTCTGACCTGCAGCTAATAGCCGCAAATGACACGCCAATCGAAGTTTTCGGCACCAAAGAGCTTACCGTCGATCTCAAATTTAAAGATCATTTCCTTTGGAAATTTCACATTGCTGCAGTTCCTCATCCAATTTTGGGCGCAGACTTCTTAGCACATTTTGGCCTATTAGTGGATATGACCCACCGCTGCCTCATCGAATCATCTTCGCATGCTTCCTCTACCGGAGTAATGAAAAAAGTCGCCTCGCTCCAATTTAGTTCCATGTTTCCCTCGTACGTACCCGGAATTTTTTCAGATTTTCCAGAAGTAGTGGGACTGGCAGAGCCGAAATCAATCGATAATCCGGAGGTTTTCCATTACATTGAAACAAATAGACCCCCCGTGGCAGAGCGAGTTAGGCGACTAAATCCGGAAAAGTATAAGGCAGCCAGCGAGGAGTTCGATCGATTGGTTCGTGAGGGTTTCGTGGGCATTCAAGTAGCCCCTGGGCCAGTGCTTTGCACCTTAGGAAAAAAAAAGACGGCACCTGGCGTGTGTGCGGAGATTACAGACTGCTCAACAGCGTGACTGTGCCTGACAAATACCCTTTGCCTCATTTGCCTGATTTTTCGGTAGCTCTTCACGGGTGCGACGTCTTTTCAACCCTCGACCTCAGCCGGCGCATTTTGTGCCGTCGAATGAGGGAGCCCCGCAACTGCCGGAAACTATTTGTAATAAAAAAAGCGACCCCATTGTACGGCCGATACTAAAAACCTATTCAGGGAAATGTCCTGCGAGGTTTTAAAAAAATGTGGCCTTTGCCAAACAATTACCTCTTAAGAGTTGATTGGTTAATGTACCGTGTGTATTTTTTAATTTCTAACTTGTGCCATAAGTACCCATGTATATATTTTCGTAATTAAGCGATGATGAGGTCCTGCGGCGACCACTCGATTTCACATGATCTCATATATATGTCTAAATTTTTTGCAATTAAGCGATGTTTTAGCCTGCGTCGACTGCTCTATTTCATGTAAATGTTTTCGCAATAAAGCATTGTCATTACGTCGATCAATTGCTCTAATCACGGTTGTCATGTTCGTCTAGTTTTTTTAAAACAAAAAGGAGGAAAGAGAAAGAAAAACGCGTTATTAAAAATTTTAACGTTTTAAAAAAAATACGCGTTTGTGTAAAGGATCACCTGAAGTTTTTCGTTCCTCTCTTAGTCATTTTAAATGTCGACAATCTTAGAATTAAACAGCGACGGTCATACGTTCAGTGATTATTTTCATTGGAGTTAAACGCATTTATGTTAGTGATTAACAGGTTCATTTGTCAATAATGGGCGCCGTGATATACTTTAAAAGTAACCCCTGCGTATTTCAAGCAATCAATCGAAATTGTTTTTTTTTTTACATGTAATTGTTGTAAGTTATAACAGAATTAAAACTTAAGGGGAGTAGTGTAGGGACCCCACCGTATGCGAGTGGAGTGGGAAGAGCGAAGAGGAGAGACCGCTGCGGAGAGCAGTCGAGCAGTCAGTCGTCCCGTTTGAGATGAGCTATCAGCCACGCTATTATGTCAAGAACTATACTTATTGAATAAAGGCACTGTTATCGTTTTACTTAAATAGTTCTCTTCTGTTCTTAGCCACTCTCTACCCCGCCTGTTCCTACAAGAGTTTATATATAGCGCCATCTGTACACGTATATATGTACCATACATACGCGAGCCCCGATGCTGCGCATCAGGCCAGTTCAGTTGATCGCTAGCCTCTAGCCAGTAAAACTTACTAGTAAGAACAACAGCTTGTAAAGACGGTATAACGACAGTTTCATAGAAATAATAATAATTCTGATTTTTCTACAAAGTGTTTAGTGCTTTTCCCTTCTTGTTATCCATCCTGGCTTTTTCCCGAATCCTGAGAGCCTCGCGCAGTGGACTTAAACGTCAACAGGTTATGGGCCCAGCACGCTTCCACTGCGCAGGGCTTTCTTTGTGATAAGGAATTTGCGCTGGGATTGACGCGTTTTTCTTTTCCATCTAGCAACTACTAAAATGAGTAAGAGTGAAGAAAGCGGCGTGCCTCCCGAGATCGGGGTCAAGGTAGAGGTGCCAGCGAATGACGGCGAGACGTCGGCCAACGACAGCGAGGTGGCCCCACCTGGGTTAGAAGGTGCGGCAGAAGGCGTGGAGGAGGCACGAGCTGTGTCACCGCTCGAAGAGGAGACGAGGATGCAAGGACAGGAGGAAAGAGGCAGGCCTATGAAGGACGCAGCATGCCAATGTAATAGTGAGTCCTGTGTTGTAATTGTGTTAAAGGGCAGTCATTTTTCGTGCTTGAAATTTGTTGCCTTTTGGCTGGGCCTAGCCCCGGGAGAGAAGGTGAGCGAGCGCACGGATGGATTGGCGGCGCTGTCCGTCGTTGCTGTCGCGGGCGGCCGAGGCGCCGGGTTGGGACCGCGGACGCCTAGCCACACCTGTGTGCCAGAACGCCGTCACCGCGGCGCAATCATGGCGGTCGGCTCGTTTCTTTTCTCTTTGTAGTTCCGTAGAGCGCGCGCATGTGTTGTGTTCACATATGTGTGTGCATGTACGAGCAGCTCATGCGACATATTTTCCTCCTTTAATTATATCCCGACGTACCTGACTGTATGTGTTCTACGGTTTCCGCGTGCGCGGGGAAGGGGCGGCCCAACCTGCCTGCTGTTCGCGCGCAAAGTGGTCACGTGTGCTGTGTGCGTGAACAACTGTGTCTCGTTCTTTACGCACGCTTGTACATTTCCATTTGTATCCCTTCTTGGAACTAAACAGGTATACTTACGTAATGACGGCTTTATTTTAGATGAGGATGTGATCGACGCATATATGCGACTTTTCCAACTTGGTGCGGATATTTGCGGAGAAGATCTCGTAAAAGATTTATCTATGAGATTAGAAGACGGATTAATTATATTTGCGAATAAGAAAGAATCGATCGCAGCTATCTCAAAAGGTAACTTTGAGCCCTCAGAGTTTAACAAAATATCACAAACAATTAGAAACTCTGGCGGCGTTGTATCCCTGTCTGCAAAAAGGACTGAAAATTCGCAAGTCCCAAAATTTTTGGACGCGCTTGATTTCTCGCCCGGGTATTCAAAGAAAGCACTGTTTAAAACGACTGAACTGCAAAAGACTGAACTTCTGACTGATAAAAGGACGGACGATGAGAGTGTTGACGAAATCCATTTCGGTAATTATCGTGACAGAGTTCCAAAAGGGAAATCAGCGAGTTCAACTATCTCGGGAAAGCCGAAAATAATAAAGAATGAAAACGTTAATTTTAAATACGACAGAGAAAAAGATAAGCTGGTTACTCAAAGACAAGTTATCAATAACCACTCAAGACAGGCAATTGATAAAAATGCAGAGTACCAGAGTGCTGTACAGACCACGACCGAGGCCGCCGCCCGTATAAGGGCCTTAGAAGAGGCAGTGGCTACAATGTCCAGGTTGTCCGAACGACTGGAAACCTTTATGACAGCTCAAGAGGTAGGTCAATCAAATTCTGGAGTAGACGCGTTAAACTCTACTGCAATACCTTCACCAAGATCCATTCTCGGAAAGAACCCTAAATCGAACACTGCATGACAGAACGACTGATCTTGTTCGGAGTTAAAGGTTTCAACTCGAACTGTTAAACAAGGACTCACCTTCCCGTTACGATTATAAATTAACTCCTAAAGCAAAGATAGAATTGTTTCTCGATAAATTATTTTCAGAATTGAAGATTAAAAAACTATTGTACGTCTTGGATGATACAATTGAGTTTCTCGCATTTCTGTCTGCCAAAGAATTAGATGATCACAAAGAAAGGGTACGACATGTCATAATCAATCACATTGATGATTTTTACCATCTAAAGACTGCTCGTTATTCCGATCCCAAAGAACTGCTAGATAAGTTGAAAGAAATCAAAAGAAACGAGTCAAACCTATCGTCAAATGAAATCAGACGAAAACTGTATACTTTTCTGTATTTCCCCAATAAACTGACAGGGTCCGATTTCGTTGATAAATTTGAAGACCTCCTTAGAAGCTAGGAAAATTTACAAGGAAAACTACCCTTGTCCGAAGAAGAAATACGTGACGCATTCTATAATGCCGTCGTTAATAACGTATCGCAGATTGAAACCCTCGACGCTATGATTGAAGATGCGCAAGGAAAAAAGATGACTTACAACCGGTTGAAATCTTTCTTTTTAAAGACAGAGTTGCGACGACAGAGGACCGGAGCTGCTGGGGGAACTGCTCCTGCAACAGCGCTACGGGTACACCAGCCCAACTCAACCCACGATAATGCCCGGTGTTATCATTGTGATGATTACGGGCACCACTCCTATAACTGCCCGGTCGACGCAGGAATGAGAAAATGCTACTCCTGCGGAAGGCTTCGACGCAACCTCATGGAGCATAAGAAAAATTGCAGGGGTGCCAAATTAGGTGAGGAGAAAAATTTTAATTGGGATTTCAAAAGACGGGAAAACAAAGACGGACAAGGATCAAAATCTCGACAAATAAAAGGGGAAAAAGGGAGCATGACAGTGAAAATAACCAAAATGAAATACAGAAAAGAGACGATGACAAAACTAGTAAAAATAAAAGTAAAACAAAAGGACAAGGTGGAAACACAAATGACAAGAAAAGTAAGACTGTTTTTAAGCAAAGCGACATTGCCTCTTCGCTGTTTTCAAGTTCTGCAAATAAGTTAAAGACCGACAACTACAATCTAGTTAAATTCATCGCCGACTCAGGAGCGACCGACCACTTGGTCAACTCTCGTTTAGTATTTAAGAGCTTAAATTATAATAAGACAGGCAAAATTAAGTGTGCGAATAGTAATCCTCTGGCAGACTTGAAAACGGAGGGAGAAGGCACCATCGTTGGTAAAAAATAATAACCATGATCTGACACTAAATAATGTGATCTGCTCTGAATCCTTGTCGGAAAACTTACTTTCTTTGAGAAAATTTGTGGATTCAGGCCTGGCCATATACCTCGATAAAAACAAAATTAATATATGTTTGACCCGACTTCGAACGAGTCATTTATCACAGGAGTCTATTGACAGCCATACTGGCTTGTTGAGGTAAATGTTCACAATAAAGATAAAAACAAATTTGACAGGAAATTTGCATACCTAGGGACAAATGGCTCGGGTGAACCTCGGTATAATACACGAAGCAAAGCTATAACAAAAGACAGTGAACAAGACAAAGACTTAAGTAAAAATGTCGAGCAAGAGGAAGCTATTGGAAATCCGTTGGCGCTACATCCCATAGGATCTTTCTTTGATAACTCAGTCAATGACCGTAAGCTTCTGAATCCAGATAAAATAAGCGTGGACAATACACCTATTAATGACAGCTATAAAACTCTTGAGAATAAGACAAACTCCATCGACGAGGCCATCCTATGGCACGTGAGATTAGGGCATGCTTCCCTCGCTTACCTAAAGGCATTTCAGAAGAAATTTCCGAATTGCAAAGATCTGAAGAAAGTTACATTTAATGATAGTATAGCTAATTGTGATGTATGCTCCTAGGCAAAATTCAACAAACTTCTGGCTAAGACAGTTAGAGTGAGATCCACCGCTCCCCTCCAAATTATTCATTCGGACACCATGGATCCAAAAAGTCCAACTTCATACCCCAAACGCTACAAGTTTGTGTCAGTGTTTGTGGATGATTATTCAATAATAGCCATGGCATATCCAATGAAAGCTAAAAGAGATACAGGGATTTGCCTAGAAAATTTTGTCCGGAGCTCCAGAAACATCTTGGGGTATGACGCCAAGTTCTGCTATCTTAGGTCTGACCAAGGTACGGAATTCACTGGTGGCCATACCCGAGAGGTCTTAAAGGAACTGGGGGCCGAACTGCAGTTAGCCAGCCCGGATACACCAGTTTATGCTTACAACCGAACACCTCACAGGTCGAATGGAATGGAAATCCCGTTGGTAAAATTTGCACCGCATAAGGATCTCAATATCGAACAACTGAAACGGTTTGGGTGCTTGGGATACATGAAGATTCAAAGAAATTCCGGTCCGAAGTTCAGTCCATTAGCTCAACGAATTGTTCTAGTGGGATACACTGTCACAAGATTTATCCTGATGAAACCAGAAGACGGAAAATTTTATGAAAGCAAAGTTGTGAGATTCGATAAACGACTGGTATACAAAGACAGATACCTGAAAAACGATATATTGAATTGGGAATTAGTTACAAGGACAGTTGATAACGACAGGTGGCTCCTGAAGTTCGACTAAGAGACGAAAGAGAGCACAAAAACGAAGGGAGAAATCGTCAAACGAAAGAGAGGACGACCGCCGAAAACATCTGGTTCAGGAAAGACGGAAGAGCTCTTACCGGCGAAACGACATAAGCTAATACATGACACTAGTTTCACAGGACTGCAGGTGCCCCATGATTCAAATAATCAAATCAGCTTTGGACAGGAAAATTTTAATGAAGAAGACTGCTCTGTAGATCAAAATCAGGATGAAGTATATCATGTATTGTTAGCAGAAATTTGCAAAGATCCAACCAGCTACCAAGATGCACTGAAGAGCAAAAACAGCACAGAATGGCGGAAAGCTATAGAAGAAGAACTGAAGTCGATGAACGACAACTGTGTTTGGAAAATTGTGAAGAAACCAATGAGTGATAGCAAAGGCAGAAAACCAAACATAATTGACTCCCGGTGGGTTCTGAAAACGAAAGAAGACAACTCTGGAAACATAAAATATAAAGCCAGGTTAGTAATCCGTGGATTTAAAGACATAAACCAATATGATCTGTTGGAAACTTATGCTCCAGTCTCAAGACTAGCTGTAATTCGAGTCTTACTGACAGTCATAAACAAATATAACTAGGAAACACGACAGCTTGATGTAAAGACTGCCTTCTTGAATGGTACATTGAATGACGATATATACATGAAAATACCAGATGGTGTTCCGTGTGCCCAAGAGTTAAGAAAAACCAAAGTTTGCAAGTTGGAAAGATCCCTGTACGGTCTTGAAATTAGTCCCAAATGTTGGTATGAGAGGTTTTCAGAGACTGCTACAAAAATAGGACTCCAGGAACACCCAAGTGAGCCCTGTCTTTTCATATGGAGATGTGAGGACAAATTTTTATTTTTGATTCTGTATGTGGATGACATGCTGACGGCAACTCTCTTGAAAAAAACCATAACGGTTAACCACACAAGAAAACCATATATAAAAACCATAAAGATTCATATGGTTTTTCTACTCCGTTTTTATGTGGTTTTTTGTCTCAAATCACCATGTGATTTAATAATATAAACCATACGGTTTTCACATGCTTTTCTTTTAATAAAAAANTTACAGGGGGGGGGGTAGGGGGAATTAGGCAATTTTTGCTGCGAGAAGGTCGCCTAAACCCTCCTCGAGGAGCATTGCGTGGTGAAAAAGCACATGTGAACAATCACAGAGGTACTTGCCCGTAAAAGTCGCACTATGGCCGGGAATTGAACTACGGTCTCCCGCGTGCCAATCCACGACCTAGCCGTTTTTATGTGGTTTTTTGTCTCAAATCACTATGTGATTTAATAATGAAAACCATATGGTTTTCACACGCTTTTCTTTTAATAAAAAAATATTTCTACTTAAGTTTAAGTATTTTTGTATATGGTTTTCTTATGTGGTTAACCGTTATGGTTTTTCCAAGAGAGAAGCAACGATGTCAATAAACTTACAGAAGTGAGTGATAAGCTTGAAGCCGATATCGAAATGACAGATCTGGGGGAAGCAAATAATTTCCTGAGAATACAAATCGACAGAGACAGAGGAAATTAAACCATTCGTTTAACCCAGGACAAATATACGAACAAAATACTGCAGAGGTTTGGTTTCGACAATGCACGACAGTGCCAAACACCTATGGTGACGAGACAAGTTATAAATCTGCAACGAAGAGACAGAGAAGAATTTGGAAACGAAGAAGAGAAAAGTGTAGATAAGCCAGAAGATTTCCCATATAGGGAAGCAGTCGGCAGTTTCCTGTACTTGGCAAACACTGTTCGACCTGATATATCTTATGCAGTGAACGTATTAAGTAGACATCAGATCAATCCCACAGAAGAAGACAGACAAATGGTCAAGAGAGTTTTCCGTTACCTCAATGGTACTAGAAAGAAAGAACTGACTTTAAAAGGAAGCACAGAAATCATGACAGCTTATTCGGACGCAAGTTTCGCAGATTACAAAGATTCGCATCCGACGAGTAGATACGTCATAAAATTATTTGGCGACTCTGTATCTTGGAGAACGCATGAACAAACTTACGTTTCGTTATTAACCTGCCAAGCTGAATATATAGCTATGAGTGAGGCATGTCAAGAACTCATGGCTCTAAGAAACACTTTGACAGCTATGCTAAATATCACACTCTATCACATGACTGTGTGGTGTGACAATAAAGCAGCCGAAGCCAGCGCCAAGTACTATGGAGGAACTAAACTTAGACACATGTTATCAGTGCGAGAACATTGTGTGGAAGAATGTTCTAAATATGGGTTCATAGAAATCAAGTGGATTGCCTCTAAAGAACAGATTGCCGACATTTTTACTAAAGCTTTACCGATTGAATTGCATGAGAGAATGACTGCGAAATTACTAAATGACTGTTAGAACTACACGACAGTGAATGTCGTTTAATCATTAGAATCTAATCCTTATGGTTTGAATTCTGTTTTAGGTAACAACCATCAGTGAGCAGACTCCAAAGATCCGAAGAACTACGAGATTAAGGCTGACTCAATGATACCTTTTATTTATTCTTTTTTTTATATTACTTATTTTATAACCATCCACAGATAAGCGCTCCATTAAACTGAAGGGAGTGTTAGAGAATAAGAGTTTAGATTTAGCGCCATCTGTACACGTATACATGTACTGTGCATACGCGAGCCCCGATGCTGCGCATCGGCATCAGGCCAGTTCAGTTGATCGCTAGCCTCTAGCAGAGATGAGTAGAGAGATTGCTAACGCCAATGCTACGGCGTGAAACAACTTTTTTTCGCTGATGGGGGCGACTCGCCACGGCCAGCCGTCGAACCAAGGCGCACATTTTTCGAGAGTGCGAGACTCGTATCAAAGAGCGTGCGCCTACAAAAAGAGAAGTGGATTCGCGTGGAAATGAGCATATAGGCGCACATTTTGGCGACACGTAGAAGGGGTATACCGAATGTGTGCCTACGAGGAGAGGAGTGGAAATGTCGACTATAGCTATATATCTGAGCGCACAGCCAAAGCAAGCGACGACATGAGTTTTTCTCTTTTGACTGCAACCGAGTATATGCTATAAATATTTAAATTACTCTTGCTCTCTCGCTCTTGCTTGAATGTTATCTATCAATCTTACATTAGATTAAATCGTGAAACTAAATGCTCATAATTATATGCACAGAATTTGATATCAAAACATTTTTTTTATTTTTTCCGTACGTTAATACTTAATTTGAAATCTAGTATTATTTTGAAAAAATGTTTAGCTAATTTTTTTAAGTATGTCAGTTCAGCTATGTAACCACTGGTTAATTATTTTTCCTCATCATAATTGTTATGAACTGTAGGACAAGCCCCGGAGGTTATCGATTAACATTAGTGACTTTAAGATCTCCTTCCCTCGAAGTTTCGATGGCTAAGGTAGTAAGGGCTTATGCCACTACTAGTCTTGTTTTGCTATCTGAGGATCGATTCCAACTGTCGGCAAATTTTTTTTTTTAACGTGATTCATCATTCTAGTTTATTTTCTTTTTATTTATGTTTTATTGAAATTTATAAATAATATTAACAAACCTTTTTTTCCCTATACATCGAAATACATTTTTTAATACTAATTATATTAAATAATTTCATAA